CTATTCCTAATGAAATCTTAACAATCCTTCAATCATCACTCTAACTTTCACCTTCTCTCAGAACAAATTTCATCATAGCCTGGGATCTCACAGTGCTTTACACCCAGGCTACAACACCTATGTCAGTTCTATTACATCGGAGTAGATTTGGTACACCCTGTTAGATTGAAAACTTTGTAGGCAAAGGACATATCTTATAAACACTGTATCTCTTTATTTCCCTGTAAGTTTATTTGTACATTTTAGGTATACTTGTATGATCACATTCATCATTGGAAATTTGTACCTGTACATGATTATTTCTTGGTTCTTGTTTTTTTCCCATTCCCCTTTCCTCCCTTCCATACCTCCACCCATCCCTATTTACAAAAGCTTTGTTTCTGTTTTTTCCTTCTTTTTTCATTTTTCCTTTTCCTACCCCTCTCCACCCCATTTCTCCTTCCCCTTTGGACCTTTTCTTCCTATTTCACATTATCTGTTATACATTTTGATCCTTATTCACACTTTCGGTTTCTCACACCAGAGAAACTATTCAGTATTTACACATTTATGTCCTATTTATTTCACTTGAGTATCACCTCAATGTGCATCCATTTATCTATAAATGTCTCTAGTTTACACTCTTTATGACTGCGTAGTACTCCATTTTATTAGAAAAGCAAATCTTTTTTTACCCAGTCACCAGCTGATAGGCATTTGGACTATTTCCAATACTTAACTATTCCAAACTGTGCTGCTATAAACATGGGTAGCACTATGTTTCTTGAAGCGCCTAGCAGATTAGTAATTGATACATAGTAGTTGCTAGGCGAATGACCTTGTTAGTAGCTACATTCAAAACCATTTGACTATTGGAGAAACCAAATCAGAACTTCCAGCAGTTCCTTACTATGGCATTTGGATCAAGCTGCTAGCAGCTATGTAGATAACCTTTCATCTGGTCTTTGTTCTCCCCATGAAAGAGTCTTCTGGTCCCAGCTCACCTTGGAATGCCAGCCCAATTCAGACCTCCTTTGGCATTGTCCCTGCTACCCTTCCCCACAATGGTTTTTGGATCTCTGGCCTCCAACTCACTCACCAGCTAAATAGCAGCCACAGGTACCTAACACAGAAACGCATTTGCAAATGTGCAGAAAGCAAAGAGTCTTTGGCCTGGGTAAGGCCATAAGTGCCATCTCAGGAGATGGCCTGAGAAATGCTTTTTGCCAGTTGGGTTCACCAGTGATTCACAGGCAGTTAGGAATTAAAGTTCCTCTCTTCCCCCAGGAAAGGTCATTTTGCCCAGTTTCCTTCTGTTTTAGTTGAACTATGAAGGTGTACATTGACACAATTATTTGCTCCCTTCTAGCCTGATTATTTTGTTAGTCCCATTCTAGCAGAAGGTCAATACAGGTCTCTTTCTGACCATAGATCCTCATTTATGAAGCCCTAATTGGGCATCTCTTTTAGCTGCTGGCATAGGTTATTTGGTTGCTGAAGTCTACAGGCATAAGCTAAGCACTAACTAAAGGACTGTGGGGTACTTATTAGGGCCTCTTGAGGCACCTCCCTACCTCTGCGTCTTGACTCAGGCTGCTCCTCAAACACACAGTACCTTGCCTTTTGATTTCAGATGCCATCTTTTGTACGCCACATTAAACTGAGTTCGAAATAGATCTCCTTTAAAATTTCTAGTACTGTGTTTATTTCTTTTTCTTTAGTACTTACTGTGGCAAAAGTAAATTCATAAGTGCTCTCATATCCTGTGAGTAGGAATATAAATAAGCACAATCTTTGGCAGAAAAACAGTGACAATATGTAGCAAGGGCCTTAAAAATAGCTACAACCTTTGGCCCAGTAATTCCATTTCCAGGGTTTTTCCTTTGGTTATGATCAGAAATTCAGATAGATTTATGAATAAGAAATTCATGACAGCATCATTTGTCATAACTGGTAGATAATTAATATCTGGTAAGGGAGTAGCTGAGTATTTTGCAGCTTATCCATATTGCATAGCCATTTTGAATGAAGTTTTTGAATGTATTTTAAAGCTGATGTTGAAGAATCCATGCAAACTTTTAAATTGCTATACAGTGTGATCCATATAGACTTTTCCCAACTACTGTTTCTTCACAGGATGTTTATAGGAATGCTACGAATAAAAATGTTCCATCTTCCAGCAAGGTTGAAAGTTATTATAGGACCATACTTGGAGGCTGCTGGGAGCCTTGGGTATACTAATGAGAATGGACCTCTCTCCCCAAGAAGTTCAGCTCAGTGTGCAGGATCCCCTTTAGATGTGGGACACTGGAAGTTTCTGATCAATGGAACATAATCCAGCAAACCTGAAGGAAAAGTGCCTAAGAAACAACTGCAATGTTGAAAAGAGTTAGGTTGCTGTGAAGAAATGAACTTACTGTTTTTTCCTTGGAATCTTTTGTCTCACCAAAGTGCTAAGTGTTATGAAATAAAGAAAGCCAGAGAGCCATTCTCCATCTAGCTTTGACAGACACAGAGCACCGTAGAATCAGCTGAAACACAGAGATACCCTGCTCGTCACATGGAGAAAGTGGCTATTGCTGTGAGAATGGTAATGGGGGCCAGGACAGGAGACCCCTTCATGTGTGCCTGGCTGGCTTTTGGTGCTCTGTGTACAATCTGCAGAGCATGGGGTATGTTCAGAGGTACCTCACTGTCACTTGGGGCCTGACCACAGGCTTCCAGATGTCTCTAGGAACATCCCCAGGATGTGAACCATATTCTAGGCTTCCTCTGCTCCCTGGCTATCTTCAACTGTAAATTCCAACTCCAGGCACAATAGTCTTCCTTCAACTGGGAGCTCTATTCAGATATGCTCCTTAGTTCCCCCAATCTTCCCTCGGCCCTACACTCTGTCTTCAGGTCTTGCTTTGTTTCACCCCTTGAAGCCAGGTCATCCCTCCCAGATCATAGGCTGAGCTCAACAACGCTGTACCTAACCAGGGTGTGGTCCGAGACATTCAGCAGGAGAGGAATATAAACTGAGGCAGGGCTTCTCACTAAATAGTACAAGACTGGAGTGATCTGCCTGGACCCCTTCAGTTTACCTTCCAAAGTCCCATAAAATATTCATTAGACTTTATCAGGCTAATGGTCTTCAAAAAGAGTAATTTTTTGAGACACGAGACAGGACAATATAAAAAGAACATTAAGGAAAAAAGTCTTATTTCAAAACGAAAGGAAAAAGATCATTTAAGATCCCTGTTGGTATTATCTATTCATGAGAAGCAGTACATTTACTCCAGAGTAGGATAGGGGGCGCTTTGATGCCCTCACCTTGGGGTCACCTTCACGAAAAATTCATTTGTCTCCCCTGCAAAAGATAGCAGGCCCGATGGAGGTGATGCCAATGAGAGACATTTCAGAGGAAGACTCCATGGGCCGGAGGGAGTGCAGAGAGTAAAGGAGAGAGTCCAGTATGTCTCCAAGGTACACACGTACAGGGTCAGGAGCTGGTGACACTATTCTCCAGTCTTGTTATCTCTTAAGCTTCTTGTTTCTTGTCCTGAGGCATGCTAGGGTTGACTCCTATTTTGGATCGTTATCTATAACTCATTCTCTTTAGGTCAGAGATTGTGAATCCATCCTCTACCAACATCTCTAACCAATATCTCTCACCAAACCATCAAGGCTGTTTCCAAGCCCTATGAGCAGAAGTCTTGGGTTCCTATGAGAGGACATGTGTGACTCAGTGGCCTCCACCAAATCCAGCTCAGGAGCTTCCATTTGTCAACTTTCTTTTCCTTCTCGGGTACAGGGCAGGGAGGAGCTGAGTTCTACTAAGAAGACTAACTCCACTGGAAGTTATTTTCTTTCAGTTGAAAGGTCCATGGGTTTATACCAGCTCGTCAGAGAAGCTTTTAAATAGACACAAAGGATTGGGGACCCAACTCCTTCTTTGTCTTCTTCCTTAATGGCCTTTCCTCTTGCTCCTTTCTAGCTCCTCATTCTTTCCTCTTCCATTTCCTTTTCTCCCTCTCTCTTTTCTTTACCCTTTCCCTCCCTTATCTTCATCTTTACTTCTACTTTCAATCTTATACCTGTTTTATAGCCATATCTACCCCCAAACTTAGGGAAATTGTTCCAATTGAATTTTTTTCTCTACTAAAGAACTAGGACAATTTTATTCAGAGAGTTTTAAACTAACACTGCTACCTATTTTCCAAATACTTGTCAGCCCAGAGAGCTGGTAATTTTGTGGCCAAGATAACATGCCTATAGTCAAATACAGTTGGGCCTCTGTAGTTGTAGGCTCTGTATCTGTGGATTTAACCAATTTATTGACTTAGCGAAAAGACCTTGACTCAAATAAAAAATAAAAAATGTATGGCAATGCAGCTCAGTGAAAAGGCCCTGAGTTCAATCCCCAGTATGGAGAAAGAAAGAAAGAAAGAAAGAAAGAAAGAAAGAAAGAAAGAAAGAAAGAAAGAAAGAAAGAAAGAAAGAAAGAAAGAAAGAGAAAAAGGGAGAGGGAAGGGGAGGAGAGGAGAGAGGAGAGGAGAGGAGAGGAGGGACCAAAGCATCTGCTCTGACTTTTCTGGTCATTGCTCTGTAAATAATACATAACAAAAACTTGCATAATGTTTACATTGTATTATGTATTATAAGTAATCTAAAGATGCCCTAATGTATATGGGAGAATATACATAGATTATATGAAAATACTTTACTATCATTTGAGGTTCTTGAGAATTAGCAGATTTGGTATCCACAGGAGATCCTGAAGTCAATCCTCTGAATTCTGAAGGGTGATATATTTACCTGATGATTGGATTCTCAGAAACACCAGAAGCAATTTCTCATCATGTTTGACAATGAGCTTCTATAACCTCAGTATATGTCAATCATTATGTTCTTTATATTCTCTGCAAAAACAATTTTTGACCTGAAAATCTCTTCTCTCATTTTGTAATTAGAATTAAAAAGTGTGATGTTGCATTGCATATTTGATTTTAAGCATTGCTTCCCCTTCTTTTCATTAGATTTGTGACAAAGAGTGGCATTACTATGTCATCAATGTGGAGTTTCCTGTGGTCACTCTCTACATGGATGGAGCAACATATGAACCATACCTGGTGACCAACGACTGGCCCATTCATCCATCCCACATTGCTATGCAGCTTACTGTCGGTGCTTGTTGGCAAGGTAACCTTATGTGGAACCTTTCTCCCTGCTCTCTGTACAATCTATGAAAGATACTGATAGAGGAAAAGGAAAACCAAGTGGTACAAGAGTTAGCTCAAAACACGTTGCCAGCACTAACTAATAAAACAGGACTTATAAGTATCAATCCAGACACTAAATCTGTATAATAATGAAACACTTGGCTAGATTTTTATTTAAATCAACATGTGTAGTGTCATGTTTGTTTCTGAGTTGCTAGTGCCATTCATTATTCTGAAATTTTATCTGGTTCCAATTGGGTTGTACAGAGAAAAGGCTGAATGTAGAATATTGTGGTAAAGTTGCTATTTGGGTCTGGTGCATGCCAGGATGATCAAAAACCAACGATCTCCCTTTATCCCCACACAAATCATCCAATTCCCCAACCCTCTATTCATGAGGCTCAGTAATGCCCATGGTTGTGGGAAGCAAGCTGCCCCACAGGGTAACAGGCTATTTTCAAGGTTGCTTCAGCCCTAGGACCTAACCCTGATCACCTAATCCCCAAATCCAGGCCCATCTCCTTTTCGGAAGCAGGAAAGTGAGCTTTCTATGAGTGCATGTGACCTTTCTGACTCTCACTCAGACCTGGAGAGTCTTTGCTTCAGTTCTCTAAAAAGTTAAGATTTTTGTTTGTTTTTCAGTTTTTTAGTATAATGAAAGAGCAGAGAAGAAAGATGCTCCCAAATAAGCAGATTAGTCATTTGACATCTGACCCAATCTTATATTGATAGATTCTGTGAAAACTTCCAAGATTTGTAACTTGAACCATTCACCACGGGAGACTAAAAGAAGTACAGGAGACTAAAAGAAGTAGGCTACAGTGTAATCATCTGTCAGTATTCCCAGGGGATTGCTTCCAGTGCCTCATGTAAATACCAAAGTCTATAGATGCTCAAGTATACTTGAAATGGTGCAGTACTTGTGTTGAACCTATGTAAATTTTCTCGTGTATTTTAAATCATCCCTGGATTTCTTGTTACACTTAACACAATGTAAATACTACATAAATCTTTGTTATATTATATTGCTTAGGTAATAATGACAAAAAAAGTCTGCAAGTGTTCCATACAATTTTTTCAAACAGTTTTATCCATCCACAAAACTTGTGTACATTAGTTAATTTTGTGAGACACAATACCTAGCAACCACAATTCAAAGGAAGAGAGGTTTATTTGGCTTATGGTTTCACAGGGTTCATTCCATGGTTAGCTGGCTGGCCCCAAAGCAGAAAAAGTATGTGGAAGGTCACGGTGGAGAAAAGCTGCCTCCCAGCAGGAAGCAGAGCAGGGAAACAGCACCAAAGAGGAAAAGGCCAGGGACCATAGATGGTACCCAAGGTCGTGCCTTCATAACCCACGCAGACATACCCAGCAGTGTGCTCCACCAGTCCCATGGGTGGCTCCCAAGCCAATGAACTTGACACAATCAAGCTTCACCATCACACTGAGAATTTGGAGGGGCATCAGTGTAATAATATGTCTGCTGAGGGCCAGCGGACCCAAGAGCAAATCCATAGGCCCTCTAGTTAGACAAAGAATGACTTCTGGACATGGTACAGAAAATGGAAGAGTATATAATGCTGCTGACAAGCACTGAGGATACAAAACTCAAAAAGGAGATAAAGGTGAAAGAAGAGAAGATGCTCATGAGCTGAGGCCACCTGCTTGATGTCTGGCATCAACCATATAATAGAGAATTGCTCATTAAGAATTTCAATAAAATGTAGCAATGAGAGTTTCTTCAGTACACCAGGCTTTTCTAGGTTATCAGGAAAGGAGATTATGTCACTTAGCAGAAGATCATGAACTTAATTGGTATACCAAGGTTCTGATTTAGAGGTTACACAGAAATCATGAACCATTCAACGCATCTCTGAAAGAATGCTGTCCCTTAGTGTGGCTCACAGCCCCAGCTACTACTATGGATATTACTGGACATACCTGAAGAATGCCCATAAGGAAAGAAGACCCAAGTCATGGCACCCCATGAACCTTACTGTGATTCTCCCCAGAGGACCTCAGAAACCACATCAGCCCCAGCCTATTACAGAAACCTGCCCACCTCTGCAAGGCCAGCTGCAAGTACCATTATCCTGCCTTTTATGCCTACTTCCTAGAGTGGAGAAAGAGTCCTACCAAATATAAAGTAGTTGTATAAAAAATTAGGATAATCCTTAAGTAAATTAGAATGGGCCAAGTTTTGCTGCAGAAACAAACAAGTCCCAATTCTAAGTTAATTTAAATGATTCTCACTTAATATTCACTGCAAATCAATAGAGGTTCTTCTCTTCTCTTTTCTCTTCAGTGTAGGACCCAAGCAAATAGTGCAGCCATATCTTGAAATATCCAGAAATAGGAAAAGAAAGTATAGGAAATTGTGCACAAGTTTTAAAATCTTCTACCTACTGGGGATGCCAATCATTTTATTCACATTTTATTGGCCAAAGCAAGTAAAATGGCCACAGCTACTTTCAACATTGGTGGAAAGTGATATCTACAAAGATATCTGGGAGAAATATTCAAGATATTTATGAACAAATAGTATTGATAAACAACAGTTTGTCCACACCACTGATAAATATTTGTTGATTCTCCTTACATAAGCAAGGTGCCCACTCTTCCTAAGTGAGACAACCCAAAAGTCTCACCTATTGCTGGTCCAAGCTCAATGTCCAATCAATCTGAATGACTCATAGTGACCTCTTCCTCAGTGGGAGACCCAGAAGAAACTGTAGAGCAGATGGAGATGTGGCTCTACTTGATCTGGAGACCTGACACTGACAATGATAGGAAAAATCACTCACTACCACCACAACTATGATATCTCCTTTCAGTGCACACACACACACACTCACACACACACACCACTATCACTACCACTACCACCACCACCACCACACCACGCACCACTATAAAACAATGGAATGAGACAGAATAACCAAAAAAGCACTTCTGCTGAGAAGGAGGAAGAACTAGAAATACAACAGTCTTGATCCATAACAGTTCAGAAATGCATTTAGGCAGATGACATGCAGACAGAGAACATTCTTTGAGGCCCTTGACTCCATTCATCAGAAGATGTTTCCTTCTCCAGTATCTCCCTCGGGATGCATCTGATGAAGGCATTGCCACTCCCTAAATACCAGTCCTAATATATGTTTACAGTTCACTTAAAAGCCATTCTGCAAAATGTATTTCAAAGATATAAAGCCTGTGTGTGTGTTTATTTGGTAGAAAGAACGAGCACTAGAGTATTCACAAGTATAGGATTGCTCTTCCTTGGGAGCAGGTATGGTCATGTCTTCTTCTGCCTATTTAACTGTGCATGGAAGTGCCTTATGTCATTCCTTGGTAGAAGCTTTAAGACTACTGTTGCAAAGAGACCTTCCACATACAGAGAGGTGTTCACAATCCTGTGAGAAGTGTGATTGGTCCCAATTTGTGGACAAGTAAGGCAAGGCTCTGACTTACTCAAATTTTCTCACCCCAGGTCTCCAATACCTATGCTTTTTTCACTGTGGCTCATTGCTACGTGTTATTACTTGATCATTTTGTTGGTGTAATTGTGTGTTACAGAAAAGGCAGGAGCTGATGTGTACTGATGCAAATGCTATAAATCTTTAACCTTTTGAGATTCCAACAACCTTGTGGTCAAAGAAAAACAAAACTGCTGCATTCCACTTGCCATATATGACCTTAAGTGACCATCCAAAGAGCAGTGAAAATAATTTAAGCTTTGAAGTCAGAAAATTTTGAGTTTGAGTCAAATTTCATCTCTGCCACTACCAGTTACGTGGACCTTGCAGGATCCTTAACTTCTCTGAGCTTCAATTTTGTTTTCTAAAATGAGAATATAATTTACCATACAGAGTTATGATAAGGAGCAGGTTCTGGGCACATCTTGTATGGTTGGCATGTTTTATTGAATGAACATGTAGATTTTTGAATATCTCATTGTGTCTCCCCCATACCCTCCTCTTTCCTTTCATTTGAGCACAACACTTCAGACAGTCTAGAAGGCTTCCGCATGCTCTAGCTTCTGCGGTCTCAGCTTTCCTCACTCCCTGTATGTCCTGACTGTAACCCTTCCCCCAGGACTGACCCTCCCACATGGATCCTGCCCTACCAGGTCCATCTAAGGGGCAGAAAGAAAGTTAGTGAGGCTGGAGAATTGTCAGGCAGAAGCCAGGCTTTGGAAAGTGGGCCCTGAAATGCAGGGCGGGAACCTGAATGTGCATTCTTTTTGGCTATACAGATTTCGGCATCTTCCCTGAGAAGATTGATAGCATATCTACAAAGTTTGAGAAGATGAAAAAATTCTGTGAAAACCTTTTAAAAAATAGTCTTGATAGGATGAGTAGGATTTCACAGATCAGCAACAGAGAAGCTTGGTCTGGACATACTCAGGGTTCCTACTGCTAGAACATTCATGGACCAGAAGGAATGGAGAAGAAGCTGGAAAAAGGAGTGCAGCCTAAACCCTGGGACATCATACCGCCTTCTTAAGGGGTTTCAGTTCCCATGAATACCTACATCTTTCTTGGAGCTACATTTTTGTCTGGAATAGATGCATCAAAAGATCTTTCAATAAGATGAAGCACTGTGAAATTAATGGCCTGCAATATAGCCCTGACCTCCACATGTTTCTAAACCTTCTGCCACCCACTTGTATACATAGGATAAGCTCTCTGAGTGAAAGTCTAATTGCCTTTGGTCCTGCAGTTGTGGGGAGCTTTTCAGGTGCTTTTGAAGTTGGCAAGGGAACTAGTTCTCATCTGTGAAATTTCCAATCTGAGTTTAACAATGGGAGTGGAAGATGATTTGATAGCAGCTGTTGCTGGGCTCTCCTGGGAGTTGTCTCCAGCACTGTTGCTGGGCACTGTTCTGCAGCCCCAATTAGCCTACTGTGTCCTGTTAGTGAATTGAAGTTGAAAGCCAGTTCAGTGGAACTTCATTTTTGTTGGTATTTTTCCAGTAATT